GGGGTGGGTCGCGGGGTGGGTCGCGGGGTGGGTCGCGGGGTGGGTCGCGGGTGGGTCGCGGGTGGGTCGCCTGTGGGTCGCGGGGTGGGTTGCGGGTGGGACGACGACAACAAACAACAACAACAAACAACAAACAACAACAACGAGAATCCGCACTGCGGAATTTCACTTCAGCCACACACCCAGGGACAGTGAATGACTGTTCGGCCCCCTCACTCTGACTATTACTACTACGACTGCGACGAGTGCTACTACCACTACTGCTAGCACCTCGGGTGCTATTACTATTACGACTACTACTACTACTACTACTACTACTACTACTACTACTACTACTACTACTACTACTACTACTACTACTACTACTACTACTACTACTTCGACTGCGACTATTAACACTACTACTACCACTGCTGCTACTACTACTACTACTACTACTCCTACCACTACTAGTTGCAATGGCCGTGTGTGCCCAGGCTTCAATACAAGAAGAAAAAAAAACTGAAGGGGGGGGCGCTGAGCAGGAAAAGATAAAAAAAAAAAAGGACGGGCGAAAATGCAACAGCGAAGGCGCACATCGAGCGCAAGCCGGGGCTGCCACACCGTGCGATGTGTGTACCAGGCCCCCCCCCCCCCCCCAAGGAAGCCTCAGAGGGCCCGACTGAGATACCAGAAGAGGCTCCAGGATGCCCCAGGATTGTGAATGTTGTGTGTGTTGTGAGTTGTGTGTTGTGTGTTGTGTGTTGCGTGTTGTGCGTTGTGTGTTGTGTCTTGTGTGCTGTGTGCTGTGTGTTGTGTGTTCTGTGTTCTGTGTTGTGTGTTGCGTGTTGTGTGTTGTGTGTTGCGTGCTGCGTGATGTGTGATGTGTGTTGTGTGTTGTGTGTTGTGTGTTGTGTGCTGTGTGATGTGTGTTGTGTGTTGTGTGTTGTGTGTTGTGTGTTGTGTGGTGTGTTGTGTGTTGGTTGTTGTGTGTTGTGTGTTGTGTGTTGTGTGTTGTGTGGTGTGTTGTGTGTTGGTTGTTGTGTGTTGTGTGTTGTGTGTTGTGTGTTGTGTGGTGCGTGTGTTGCGTTATGTGTTGTGTGTTGTGTGTTGTGTGGTGTGCGTTGTGTTGTGTGGTGTGTGTTGTGTGTTGTGTGGTGTTGGTTGTGTGTTGTGTGCTGTGTTGTGTGTTGTGTTGTGTGTTGTGTGTTGTGTTGTGTGTTGTGTGTTGTGTGGTGTGTGTTATGTATTGTGTGCTGTGTGTTGTGTGTTGTGTTGTGTGTTGTGTGGTGTGTGTGTGCGTGTGTGTGTGTGTGCGTGTGTGTGCGTGTGTGTGTGTGCGTGTGTGTATGTGTGGTGTGTGTGTGCGTGCGTGCGTGCGTGTGTGCGTGCGTGCGTGCGTGCGTGTGTGTTGTGTGTGCGCGTGCGTGTCTGTGTGCATGCGTGCGTGCGTGTGCGTGTGCGTGTGCGTGTAAGTGTGCGTGTGCGTGTGCGTGCGCGTGTGCGTGTGCGTGTGCGTGTGCGTGTGTGTGCGTGTGCGTGTGCGCGTGCGTGTGCGTGTGCGTGTGCGTGTGCGTGTGCGTGTAGGTGTGTGCGTGCGCGGCGTGCGCGCGTACGTGCGTGCGTGCGTGAGCGCGTGCGCGCACACGCGTGCGTGTGCGTATGCGTGTGCGTGAACGTGCGCGTGTGCGTCTGCGTGTGGGTGTGCGCGTGCGTGTGCGTGTGCGCGTGCGTGCGTGTGCGTGTGTGTGTGTGTGTGCGTGCGTGCGTGCGTGCGTGCGTGCGTGCGTGTGTGCGTGTGTTTGCGTGCGTGCGTGCGTGCGTGCGTGCGTGCGCGCGTGTGTGCGTGTGTGTGATGCGTGTGTGTGTGTGTGCGTGCGTGCGAGATGCGTGTGTGCGCGATGCGTGTGTGAATGTGCGTGATGCGTGTGTGTGTGTGCGTGCGTGCGTGCGTGCGTGCGTGCGTGCGCGCGCGTGTGTGCGTGTGCGCGTTGCGTGTGCGTTGTGCGTGTTCGTGTGCGTGTGCAGCGTGCGGCGTGCGTATGCGTGTGCGTGTGCGTGTGCGTGTTCGTGTGCGTGGTGGCGTGTGCGTGTGCGTGTGTAGTGTGTGTGTCGCGTGTGTGCGGCGTGCGCGTGAGCGTGTGCGTGTGGCGTGTGCGTGTGGCGTGTGTGTGATTCGGTGTGTGTGGGTGTGTGTGTGCGGTGCGGCGTGCGTGCGTGCGGCGCGCGTGCGCGCGTGCGCGTGTGTGCACGCGTGTGCGTTGTGATTCTGGCACGATGTTGGTGCGCGTGGCCGTGCGCGTGCGTGCGCGTGCGTGCACGTGCGCGCGCGTGCGTGCGCGCGCGTGCGCGTGCGTGCGCATGCCTGCGCGTGCGTGCGCGCGCGAACGCGAGCGAACGCGAGCGTGCGCGCGCGTGCGCGCGCGTGCGTGCGCGTGCGTGCGCGTGCGTGCGTGCGCGTGCGTGCGTGCGTGCGCGCGTGGGTGCGTGCGTGCGAGGGTGCGTGGGTGCGTGGGTGCGTGGGTGCGTGGGTGCGTGGGTGCGTGGGTGCGTGGGTGCGTGGGTGCGTGGGTGCGTGCGGGCGTGCGTGCGTGCGTGGGTGCGTGAATGCGTGGGTGTATGTGCGTGCGTGCGTGCGTGCGTGTGTGCGCGCGTGCGTGCGTGTGTGCTTGCGTGCGTGCGTGCGTGCGTGCGTGTGTGATGCGTGTGTGCGTGTGTGCGTGTGTGCGTGTGTGCGTGTGTGCGTGTGTGCGTGTGTGCGTGTGTGCGTGTGTGCGTGTGGGCGTGTGGGCGTGTGTGCGTGTGTGCGTGTGTGCGTGTGTGCGTGTGTGCGTGTGTGCGTGTGTGCGTGTGTGCGTGTGTGCGTGTGTGCGTGTGTGCGTGTGTGCGTGTGTGCGTGTGTGCGTGTGTGCGTGTGTGCGTGTGTGCGTGTGTGCGTGTGTGCGGGTGTGCGGGTGTGCGTGTGTGCGTGTGTGCGTGTGTGCGTGTGTGCGTGTGTGCGTGTGTGCGTGTGTGCGTGTGTGCGTGCGTGCGTGGGTGTGCGTGCGTGCGCGCGTGCGCGCGTGCGCGCGTGCGCGCGTGCGCGCGTGCGCGCGCGCGCGTGTGCGCGTGCGTGTGTGTGGTGGGTGTGTGTGTGCGTGCGTGCGGTGCGTGCGTGCGTGCGTGTGTGTGTTGTTGCGTGCGCGTGCGCGCGACGCGTGCCGTGTGCGTGTGCGTGTGCGTGTGCGTGTGCGTGTGCGCGTGCGCGTGCGCGGCGTTGCGTGTGCGTGTGCGCGTGCGTGTGCGTGTGCGTGTGCGTGTGCCGTGTGCGTGTGCGCGTGCGTGTGCGTGTGCGTGTGCGTGTGCGTGTGCGTGTGCGTGTGCGTGTGCGCGTGCGTGTGTGTGCGTGTGCGTGTGTGCGCGTGTGCGCGTGTGCGGGTGCGTGCGTGCGTGCGTGTGCGTGTGCATGTGTGTGCGTGTGCGTGCGCGTGTGCGTGTGCGTGTGCGTGTGCGTGTGCGTGTGCGTGTGCGTGTGCGTGTGTGTGTGTGTGTGTGTCTGATGTGTGCTCTGTGTTGTGCGTGCATTGTGTGCGTTGTAGGTGTTGTGTGTGTGTTATGTTTGTCTAGCGTGTGATGTGTTGGGCGTGATTTGGCCCCAGGCGGACTCAGGAAGCCCCAGGAGACCCCAGGAGGCTCCAGGAGGCCCCAAGAGGCTCCAGGAGGCCGCAAGAGGCCCCAGGAGGCCCCAGGAGGTTTCAGGAGACCCCCGGGAGGCTCCGAGGCGGGGGTCTGGGGTACCAGATGGTTCAGAAAGCCCCAGGAGGCCCCAGGAGGTTCCAGGAGGCCCCCAGGAGGCTCCGAGGCGGGGTCTGGGGTACCAGAGGGTCGTCGGGGCTCGATGCGACTAACACGAATACTCCTACTCTTACGACTACGACTACTTCGACGAATACTACTCCTACTACGACAACTACTACCATTACCACTACCACTACCGCTACGTCTACGAATACGATTACTACTACTACTACTACTACTACTACTACTACTACTACTACTACTACTACTACCACTACTACTACTACCACTACGACTACTACTACTACTACTACTACTACTACTACTACTACTACTACTACTACGGCCACCACTACTAAGTCGACGGCCACGACGACTGCTACTACTACAACTACAACAACTACGACTACGTTTACGACTACAACTACGACTACGACTAAGACTATGACTAATCCTACTACTACTACTAAGAATAACACGACTACGACTATGACCACTACTAACTACGGCGACTACTACCACCACTACTACGACTAGTACTACTACGACTACGACTACGACTACTACTGCTACTACTACTACCACTACTACTACTACTACTACTACTACTACTACTACTACTACTACTACTACTACTACTACTGTTTACTGTTACTACTACTACTACTACTACTACTACTACTACTACTACTACTACTACTACTACTACTACTACTACTACTACTACTACTACTACTTACTACTAACTACTTACTACTTACTACTTACTACTTACTACTTACTACTTACTACTTACTACTATTTACTATTACTACTACTTACTTTACTTTACTTTACTACTACGTTCTACTTGTTTTACTGATACTGTTTATACTTTATTTCTACTACTTTTACCACTACTACAACTACCCACTAACACTATCACTACCAATTACACTACCACTAAACCCACTACCACTTACCACTACCACTACACTAACACTACCCAACCACTACCATACCCCTTACATACCACTACCACTACCATTTACTTTTCTTACTTACTACTTATACTTACTTTTATACTTTTTACTTTAATTTCTTACCATACTACATACCACTCACTTCCACTATTGCTACCACACCACTCCTTACACTATTTCATGCACCCAGCCTTTTACTACTTATACTAATATTTTACTACGGACGACTACAAATATTACTTGTTTCTCCTAGACTACAAATACTTTTACTAGTAATGATACAAACAAGAATAATGATAATGATAATCGTAGGCTCGGCTTGGCGCGGCCCAGGGGGGGCTACTGCTGCGGCTGCGCCCACGCCTGGCTGGGGGAGGAACCGGCCCGCGGGGGGGGGGAACTAGGGGAGCGAACAATGACATAACACAAAAACTAGGAGGTCCGCGCGAATTTCTCGGATCGGCGCTGGAGCCCCCTGGCGGCGCCTCCAGCGCCGCCCCTGGCGCGCTCCGCGCACCAAGGACGGGGTCCAACGCCGATCCGAGGAATCCGCGCGGACCTCTAGGTTTATATGTACATGTCATTGTTTGTATCCCTAGAAACGGCCCGCAGGAATTGACTCAAGCCAGGATGGCTCAATCAATTGCCCAATCGTGTTGTTCAGGAGCCGACTTCGCAGTCATAAGCTGTCATAAGCTTTAGGCCGGTGCTCAAGCCGAGCACGTAGAGCTACAGACAAGAACACGGCGCACAACGTTGGGGTGCTTGACCGCGAAGGCGACGAAACAGAAGCAACATCATCACATTGCAGATGAATGACAAGCGATGGGCCTTTCTTGGCCTGCAGGAGGATCGTTTTGAGCCCAGGCGTGGAAGAGACGCGCCCGCAGAGGGGAGCGCGCGAGGCGTGCAGGCGACAGGCAAGCTTGCAGGAAGCATCCGTGATGCAGACAGGAGATGAGCCCGAAGCATTCAGGGAGCCCGCAGTGTGGCAGGTGGGGCGCCGACGTCCGTCTGCGGCGAGCCTCGGGAAGGGAGATACGGAGCCGGGAAGCACCAGAAGAGCCCGCAGCGTGCCGCATGTGTGGCGGCAGTCGCCGCGGGTCAGGAGGCACGAAACTAGACCGCACCCGTAGAGAACCCGCAGTGGTCGCCGCCGCACAGCGACAGGGGGAGCGGGAGAGGAGTGGGGGACAAACGTTCGCGTCGTAGTGCGATTCCGCTTCTTATCACAGGGAAGGGGGCCCAGGATCGAGGAAGGCTTGAGGATCTTGGAGGGGTAGAGGAGGGTCCGAGGAGGAATCTAAAGAGGAGAAAAAGCCAGAGCCTTTCTGTGGGCATCGGGGGGCCTCCAGAGGCCTGAGGGCATCGGCGGCTCTCCCCGGGGGCCTCCAGGAGCAACCAGAAGACCTTCGAGAGCCGCGAGACTCGCATCCGCCTTCCGTGGGATGGGGGGGCAATGACGACGAAGACGACGACGACGACGACACGACGACGACGACGACGACGACGACGACGACGACGACGACGACGGACGACGGCGAGGACGGCGACGACGACGGCGAGGACGGCGACGACGACGGCGAGAACGACGACGACGGCGACGACGCCGGCGACGACGCCGGCGACGACGACGGCGACGACGACGGCGGCGAGGATGACGACGACGGCGAGGACGACGGCGAGGACGACGGCGAGGACGACGACGAGGGCGAGGGCCTCCAGGAGGGCGGCGAGCTCCGCATGGTTGCCGCGCCGCGCCATGGCGGCGGGCGAGGGCACACCCGTGGACGCCTGCCGTGAAGCCTCCCTCCTCCTTCACCATCCTCCTCCTTCCCTCCTTCACCATCCTCCTCCTCCTCCTCCTCCGTTGCATTCGTCTTCCACCACCTCCTCCTCCTCGTTTCCCGAGGAGAAGACGCAAGCCGTGGGAATCCCCACCGGTGACGTCAGTAGGCTTCCGGGGGCCTCGGACAGGTCACCGAGGACTCCCGAGGACCAGCCTGATCAACGCCACCACATCTGGCCAAAGACCTCCAAAGCGTGGCGGCGGCCTACTCCAGGCCACCGACGTCCGGTCGGGTGACGTCACCACATATCGTCCGCCGTTTTGTCGCGCCGGCCCTGCCTCTTAATGGCGCGGTGCGTTGATATTTGCGCCTCTGCCCCGCTGCTGGTGCGCTCTCCTGGGGTTCGGTTCGGCCGTGTTTGCACTTTTGGGTCCTGCTGCTGTGGTCCAGCTCTCTCTGGGTAAAACACAGCGGAACTACCTATGTCAATTCTATGCCCCCCGCCCGTTCCCCCCAGCATCTATCCCACAACATGGGATAAAAATCGCCTGGGGGATAATCATTCTCAGAGTCGAACTTGTGCATGCTGGCTCGGGGCCCCCATTTGCAGGAATCCCACCTCAGGAATGGGAGGCATCGCGGACGGCATCGTCACTCAGGAGTGGGGGGCGTCGCGGACGGCATCGTTACTCGGGATGACCCCCCCTCCCTCTCGCCCCTCCCCTCGGCGAAGACCGTTAATTGGCCTCGTCGGTGAGGACCGTCATTAGGCCTCACACCCCTCGCAGATTCAATCAGTGGGGCTGCGGAGGTTCCCGCTCCCAGCAGTCGACCTTCCATTTCGCCGTCAATAAGCGCCGGAGGGGGGCCGCAACGAAGACGACCGCAGGGGGGATGACACGTACCTCCACCTCAAGGCACACATGTGCCACCACCCACAATCCGAGGCGTCAATGGCCACCCACCACTCATCTCCTCCTCCTCCTCCTCCTCCTCCTCCACGGCCTCCTCCTCGTCCACGTCCTCGTCCTCGTCCTCCTCCTCCGCCTCCTCCCCTCCTCCTCCTCCTCCTCCTCCTCCTCCTCCTCCTCCTCCTCCTCCTCCTCCTCCTCCTCCTCTTCACTCCTCCTCACCCCTCATCCCCCACTCCTCCTCCTCCTCCTCCCCTCCTCCTCCTCCTCCTCCTCCTCCTCCTCCTCCTCCTCCTCCTCCTCCTCCTCCTCCTCCTCTTCCTCCTCCTCACCCCTCACCCTTCACTCCTCGCCCCTCACCCCTCATCTGTAGTACTGTGAAGCGTCCGTGCTAGCACAGAAAACATGCACCTGGTAACAGATGCGGCCCAACCCCGAAAAAAGGAATCCGACCTTGCGACCGTAAGCTCCTCACTGTTAAGGGGGCTCGGCACGACATCACCCTCGCCTTCCAGGCGAGGGCCCCCCACTTGGGTTCAAAACCGACTGGCTGGCACCATGAATAGCCTGATGAGCCAACCACGGGGGTTCAAAATCCTCCTCTTCCATCACTCCTCACTCCTCACTCCTCATCCCTTCACTCCTCACTCCTCACTCGCCCATTGACTCGTCACTCCTCACTCCTCACCCCTCATCCACTCATCGCTCCCCACTCCTCACTCCTCACTCCCCCTTCCTCACACCTCAATCCTAACCCCTGAATCCTCGCTCCCCGCTCCTTACTCCTCGCTGCTCACCACTCCCTCCTCGCTCCTCCCCCCTCACTCCTCACTCCACACTCGTCGCTCCTCAATCCTCACTTCACACCCCTCACTCCTCACTCCTCACTCCGCACTTCCCATCTCCCACTCCCCATTCCTCACTTTTCAGTCCTCACTCCTCACTCCTCACTCCTCACTACTGCCTGCTCGCTCCTCCCTCCGTGCTCCTCACTCCTCACTCCTCACCCCTCGCTCCCCGCTCCTTATTCCGCACTCTGCCTTCTCCACTCTTCAGTCCTCGTTCCTCAGTCTATACTCCTCGCTCCTCACTCCTCGCTCGTGACTCTGCCTTCCTCCTCCTCACCCCTCACTCCTCACTCCTCACTCCCCACTCATCACTCCTCACCCCTCACTCCTCGCTCCTCGCTCCTCACTCCTCCCTTCCTGTTCCTCACTCCTCACTCCTCACTCCTCACTCCTCACTCCTCGCTCCTCGCTCCACGCTGCTCACTCCTCAATCCTCACTCCTCAACCCGCAGTCCTCACTCCTCACTCCTTACTCCTTACTCCTCACGCCTCACTCCTCACTCCTCATTCGTCGCTCCTCACTCCTCAATCCGTACTCCTCAATCCGTAGTCCTCACTCCACACTCCTCACCCATTCCTCACCCCGCACTCCTCACCCTTCACTCCCGGTTCCCCACTCCCCATTCCTCACTCATCACTCCTCACTCGTCGCTCTTCACTCCTCACCCATCACTCCTCGCTCCTCTCTCCTCAGTCCGCACTCCTCCTCACTCATCACTCCTCGCTCGTCACTCCTAACTCCTCACTCCTCACTCCTCGTTCCTGGCTCCTCGCACCTCGCATCGCACGTCTGATTCATCATGATTCCTTCCTCTCCCTGGCTCCTCGCTCCTCTTCCTCACTCCCCAGTCCTCACCCCTCACTCCTCACCCTTCGCTCTTCTCCTCACATCACACCCCATCGATCCTCACTCCTCACACTTCCTCCCTCCACCTCACTCCTCACTCCTCACTCCTCACTCTTCGCTCCCCACTCCTCACACCTCACTCCTCACACCTCACCACTCGCTCCTCACTCCTGGCTCTTCACTATTCCTTCCCCCTCCTCATTCCTCGCTCCTCACTCCTCACTCCTCGCTCCTCTCTCCTCACTCCGCGCCCCTCACTCCTCACCCTTCACTCTTCCTTCCTCCTCTTCACTCCTCAATCCTCAATCCTTACTCCACACTTCTCATTCCTCCACCTCCTCGTCGTCCCTCCTCCGTTCGTCCTGTGTCATCATCAGCATCAGCAACATCAGCATCAGCAAAAACATCATCGTCATCATCATCGGCAGCAGCATCAGAATCAGCATCAGCATCAGCATCGTCATCGTCATCAACATCGTCATCAGCATCATCATCAACAGCAGCATCATCATCATCAGCATCAGCATCAGCATCAGCATCCGCATCAGCACCAGCACCAGCACCAGCACCAGCACCAGCACCAGCATCAGCATCAGCATCAGCATCAGCATCAGCACCAGCACCAGCATCGCGATCGTCATCGCGATCGTCATCGTCATCGTCAACGTCATCGTCATCGCCACCGCCATCATCATCGTCACCATCATCATCATGACTCCGACTGCTCTTTTCCAGACCACTGCTTGCGGTGAACGAGCGAGCATCTTCAAGCCGAATATGCACCAGCTTTTTGTGGGTGGGAGGGTTCGGGTGAACCAAAAAGCGCTATAGAGCGGAGAACGGATGACGAGGTCGGGTCATAACCGCGGGGCATAAATATGACTCCGACTGCTCTTTTCCAGACCACTGCTTGCGGTGAACGAGTGAGCATCTTCAAGCCGAATCTGCCCTTATACAGAACACCCGCATACAGCACTGGAATGGCGAATCTCATTCGACGAAATTATATCACCTGGTTCTTGCTGCAGGAAAACCCCCGAGGCCCTTAAGTCGGGGAAGAGAAGAGAAGGGAAGGGGAAGAAGGAAAAGAGGAGAAGGCTGGCCACAGTTCGTGCACGCGCAAGAGGCTGAGGGACGAGGCGATAGCCATAGATAGCACGAGGCACAACCTCTCGGGGTAAACCTGCTTTTGTCGCGTCAAGAATCCTCCTTTTCCTGTGGGCCCGTCCAACTGGTAGCGTGGTTTTCCTGAAAAGCTACACGCACCCCTGCCGCGGCATTTTGCTGCATCCAAAGGGGGACATTTGACGTTATGCAAGTTGAGACCCCATGGCGTGCCGAACGCGCAATAGTCGATAAAGTATGAGGTGCATTCGGGTCGCTGCAACAAAGCTGGGCGTCGGTGGCCCAGCCACAAGTAGGACTGAGCTGGACCCCCCCCCCCCGCAGGGTAGCCCTCGCTGGAGGCAAGTTTCTAGGAGAACACCGGCGCGATGTGCAAGTACGTTGCCCCCCGAAACTGCCACCTGGCCACGTGAATCTAGGTTTGGAAGGCCAAGAGGATATTCTAAGCTGCGCAGCCGATGAGGAAGACGAGACCACTGCGGAGCCCGGCGGGCCATTGTAAACGACTGACACGGAGTACCTGCCCACATTCCCATTACAAGGCCAGAGCGGATCCAGCCGAGCAAAGCGTTGAAGACGTCAATGTTTAACAGGTCGTGAGCAGGCCCATGGCAGATATCAACGCAAACGACAGCGACGTTGAGATCGGCAAGCGCTGAAGCCAGGCCCCCCGCCCCCGAGACAGATCCAGGAAGATCCCCCGGCCGTGCGGCTGCGGCTGCGCGAGAGCCTGGCGCAGTGCACGACGAAGGGCGCGAGGCCGCGGTCGACCAGCAACGAGATCTGTTTTCTCAACGCTGGCGAAAGCCTGCCGGGCTGAAAGGAGACCCGCGCGTGCTTCTCGAAGAGCACGACGCTCCGCAAACTGCGCCCGTGGCCCCTCCGCTGCGCCTCGACCAGAGAGCGCGCTCGACCGAGACGATCGTGGCTGGCGTCCCCGCGCCGCAGCGCGTAGGGGCTGGCCTCGATGCAGGAGGCCCCCCCCTGCTTCACGGCCAGCGCGAAGGACCGGTACAACTGCCTCGCGCTGACGCGGAACCCAGAAGAGGGCCCCCCCCTGTGCGCCCGCCCTGCAGCGCCAGCAGCATCGGGATGAGCGGGCGGTAGCAGCCCCAGTCGAGGAGCACGCTCCGGTCGAACTCCTGGGCGCGGGACGGTCGGTTCAACTCCTCCACGTGGATGCGAAGGCCCCCGAACACCCCCTGGCCCCGCGACGCAATAGGCGGCCCCAGCTGTCGTACTGCGAGGCTGTAGAGACACATGTAGGTCTCGACCATGATGAGCGTCCACTCCACGAGGTTGAGGCGGAGCGGGCCCCACTGCGGGCCCAACAAGGTGGGCCGCGGTCTTCGCCTCAGAAAGTCGGCCAGCGGCTCCAGCACGTCGTGGAAGCCCGCCTGCGTCGACGGGCGGACGCGCACCTGCTGCAGACTGGCCAGCAGCGGGGCCCGCGGCCGCAGCCACGCCCGCGTCGCCACTCGGAGGCGCCCCAGGCGGCCCGAGACCCGGCGGGCTGCCGGGGCAGAGCGGGCCGAGCGGGCAGCCCGCCGCGGTCCACCAGAGCGGGTGGGCGGGCAGCCCCCAGGGCCGCTCGGCCCAGCGGGCCCGGCGCTCGCGGGGCCGCGGTCCGTCGGCGCGCCGACGGAGCGGCTGCTGGAGAAGCCCAGGCCCGCAGCGCCCGCGTCGTCGGAGCCGGACGGGGCCGCAGGCTGCAACCGCGCCGATGGCAGGCAGCCGGTATCGGGCGTGGACTGCCACCTTCGCTCTGCCCCCATGCCGAGGCTGGTGAACACGGCTCGCCGCGCCCAGGGCGTTGAGCTCCGATGGGGCCCACCGGTCGTAAAGCTTGAGCCCGACGGCGAAGGCGATGGCCGAGGAGAGCCAGCACTGAAAGTTCATGGCCGGCGTAGACGACCTGCCCTTGGCGCGCGCAAGGATCGCCGACATATTATCACCCAAGAGAAGCACCCGAGAGTTGCGAAGGCTGCAATCACGAGCAACGTGACGTACCGTCCAGGTCCGGGCCCGAGCCTCAAGGTGGACCTGGGGCCCCGGGACGCCCCTCCAGCGGCCGGCATAGGCCGCAGCCCAGCCGCGCTCGACCAGGCTAGCCGGGACCTCGGCAAAAGCCCGGGGCCGACCCAGGCCCAGGATGTCGGCCTCCGAAGCCCCAGATCTCCAGCTCCTCCTGATGCTCGAGGGCCCGGGACCGCGGCGCCTCCGAGACACTGAGGAGGCCACGAAAGCGGGCCCGTTCACGAACGCGACCCACGGCGGCGACCTCTCCCGGCCCCCAGCGCACCGACCCGACTCCAAAGCCCCAGCAGGAGGCGTCGCAGCCGAAGACCCGACTAGACCAGGGCCGACGCATCGAAGCACGAGCCAGAGGAAGCAGAGCACGCATCCAGCGAACTTCGCGATGTACAGACGGCCACAAAGGCTGACGGCGGGTGTAACTCTCGCGGGTGGAAACATAGACCTTTTCCATGAGGCACAAGAGCTCCGGGGAAAGCGAAAACAAAGCAGTGACGTGGCCCACGAAACGCTCGAGCTCCTGTCCCGTGATACTCGGACGAACCTCCCGGAGATAATCCGACGCTAACTTCAGCCTCCAGAACCGACTACATTTAGGACGCCACTCACCCGAGGAGCCCACCAAAGTAAAACCTATGAAGTCATTGTCCCCCGCCTCCGAGTTCCCCAGGGTCGACGCGATCCCGAGGTCCGCGAGCCGAGACTGCATTCCCAGGACGTCCGAGGTAGCAACCGACTTACTCTGGGACAGGGAAACGAAGTTGTCGATATACAGTCCGCGCAGCGACCCAACGTCGCCAAGAGGTGTGAGCGGAACTTTATCTAGGACCCACGGGGCCTCGGGGGAAACCCCATCAAGCTGGTACTGGTTAGCGGCCTGTACAAGGGCCACAGCCCAATTCCAACCCATAGGCACCACGCGGGCCCGCAGGCGAGCCCAACCGCGTTTCCGAACCGCGTCCAGCAGAGAAGCGACGAGGGGCGAAGACAGGTGCGCCATGGGAAGGATCGGGAGACCGAAAAAACACCTGTACTGCTCAGGGAGAGCGAACTGGTAATAGCAAACTTCGATGTCGCCTCCGTGCAGCACGGGAATGACACGAGGCTGGCATTCGAGATGCGCAAGGGCCTCGCCGGAGGGCAAGACCACACCATGGGGCTCGCGGAACCGAAGGTTGGGCACACGAGTATCCCAAATCAGACGAAGGGCGCCTACGAAGGGCGCCTGATTTTTTTCCGAACAAAAAACATACCACTTTCTTCGAGCACATCGTCGCTGACCTCCACAACGCCAGCGTCCCAGGGTTCGGAAGCGAACTCTCCAGAAAGTCTAGGGTTGTCCCGCAAAACGGGATCCAGGAAAAGGCTGCCCTCAGAACTGTCACGACGGGCGGCAGCCTCCTCCTCAGAAAGAAGGATTGAACGATCTTCAAGCGCGGACTGCAGGGCAGGCGGCAAGCACTCACTGAGAGATACTCGCCCAGAAAGCCCCGCGGGAAGCGACACGTCCCCTCGCTCGAAGTTCGCACGTGCACCGACGGCCATCGCATCGTCAGCGTAGCCGGGCCGCGAACCCTGGAGCGACTGCCACGCTCCCAAGGCGCTCCCGCAGTCAGGCGGGGGAGCCGCGACCGATCCATATTGTCGGGCAAGGTGCCGAACAGCCGAGACCTGAGCTGAAGTCAACGATGCAGGCGATGTCGCAGGCGGCTGTGGAGCTCCCAACTCGCTCAGAGCGCGGATGCCCTCGAGCAGCCACCCCTCCTGAGCCCGCCGACGCCAAAGTCGCCGTCGTTGACTCTGGGACAAGCCCAGCCCGCTGGCACCCCCCGCACAGACCTCCGAGGCGGCTGCCAGGGAGATCGGCAGGATGTCGCGCTGCCTCATCCCTGAACCCCTAACGCAAGCCCTCGAGGAGGCGGGGTACTCCCCCTCGCGGCGGCACAAGACAGGAGGAAGGCAGGCCGTCAGGCCTTCTCTTGCCCTTTGTTGGAACCCCTGGGCTTCTTCTTATGGTCAGCCGCTGCAGGTCCCATCCCAACTCCCTTTGCCAGCGAAGCCTCCCCCCTCGACTGGCGGCGCTCCCTGAGCACGGCGGTCTGGGAGGACAACTCCTTCGCCGCGATATCCTCCAGCTCGAGCATGATGAGGGCGTTGCTCCAAAGATTCTTGACACCAAAGAACAAAGAACGCCCATTCAGCCAGTCGTCGCCGTTCGAGCCGCCGATGTCCGCCTCACGAGGTAGGTCCTTGTCGGCACTCCCCCACATCTGACGCCGGCGGCTGACCAACTCGTGCGTCGCCAGATTGCCGATCTGCACCTGGTCCACCGTCCTCGCAGACTCGATGGATGGTGACAGTAGCGGGCGCTGCTCCACGCCCACGTCGGTGGCCAGCGAGCCCATCACCGAGCGCCACTCGTAGTGCTGCTGGAGGAAGCTGCGGTTCCCGTCGTGGATCCGCTCCGCCGTGAAGCAAGTCGACCGCGGGCCCTCGATCTCCCAGCCGTCCGCGAACCCGACAGGCTGCAGGTCCTGCAAGGCGCTCGCAAAGCTGGGCTGGGGGTGCCGCCGGCCATCCCGCTTGGTGGCCAGAATGTGGGAATCGTCACCTCCCGCAGCACCAGGAGCCACGAGCAGGGTGCCCTCGAGACCGCCGGACAGCACCGTGCGGCTCGCGCCGAACTGGTAGTGATCGATCAGAAAGTGTGACCGCCCACGCAGAGCAACTGGCAACTGCCCGTTGGCCAACACCGGCCGCAGCCCCTCAAAGATATCGAAGTCCCGCGAATCCGCGACCAACTGAGAGCATCTGACGTAGCCGGGCAATGCACGCTCATGCCATCCCACTGCCGCCCCGCCCGCGCCCTGAAAGTAGCAGACGAGGACCCACTCGACAAGGCAGGCTGCCTTGAATCCCGCGGGTGTCGCCATCCTCGCACGTGAGTGTCAAGACGGTGTCGTCGACCGATGAAGAAGGACTCGAACTCGTGCGCCCCAGACTGCGGCCGAACAACACCCCGAACACGAAGGCCGTGAGCGAGCAAGTCGTCAGAAGCCCGAGCACGCGGAGAAGGCCGAACCCCTCGACGCTCTCGGTGTGGCAGTGGCAGTCACACTGGCAGACACACTGGCCCGCACGGCCGACCAACTCCGCCAAGAGATGGCACTCCGCGCTGGCGGTGGCCACTGGGGGTGGTGCCTCGCAGACACACTCGACGGGTGCGGGCCACAGGAGAGTGCGGAGAAACGCAAGCTCGCGAAACACTGAGAAGCTGAGGAGCAGAGGTTCCATAAACTCCCTGTCCTGAACCAAAAAGCGCTATAGAGCGGAGAACGGATGACGAGGTCGGGTCATAACCGTGGGGCACAAATATCATCAGCATCATCATCAGCATCATCATCAGCATCATCATCATCATCATCATCATCAGCAGCAGCATCATCATCATCATCATCATCATCATCATCATCATCATCATCATCATCATCATCATCATCATCATCAGCATCATCATCATCATCATCATCATCATCATCGTCATCATCATCATCATCATCATCATCATCATCATCATCATCATCATCAACATCATCATCATCATCATCATCATCATCATCATCATCATCATCATCATCATCATCATCATCATCATCATCATCATCATCATCATCATCATCATCATCATCATCATCATCATCATCATCATCATCATCATCATCATCATCATCATCATCATCATCATCATCATCATCATCCGGTCGGGCAGCGGTCCCCAGCGCAGGGCCGACGCGCCTCCCCGGCCGCGGGGTCGGCCCCGAACTGCACCAGCAGCTCGCAGAGGGGCCAGTGGCCTGGACGAGGAAGGAGGACGATGAGCAATACAACAGGAAGGAGGAGGAAGCACACGGAGGAGAGGGGAGACGGAGAAAGACGGGAGGGGAAGCCAGGAGGATGGAGAAGAAAAAAGAGAGGAAGGAAATAATGGCAATTCTGATAACAATAAGAAGGATAATCATACGACTGATAATAATAATGATACGGATACGTATTACAATAGAAATACTACTATCTGTAAGCATACGACTACGACTCGTAATAACAGTGATGAGTATATTCTAAAAAACGGTGTTGATAATAATACTAAGAGATGAAGAACAAAATGAAAATCTGATTAATGAAACTCATACGCCTACAAAGACAACTACTACGAATAAGAAGAAGAAACGGGGGGAAAACACAAAAGGGAAGGGAGAAGAAGAAAGGTGTGGAAAAGAAGGAAAGTGAAGAGGAGGAGGGCAGCAGCAGTGGGAAAGGGGGACGGAGAAGGACGGAGGCAGGGGAGGAGGTGGACGACGAATGAGGCGGTGTGGAGCGGGAGGGGGACGAAGAGACGGATGAGAAGAAGAGGGCAGGAGGGATTAGCGGACGGACGGGACTACGAGGGGGGAACACCAGCGAGGACCCAGCAGCCAATCCATCCCCCGTCCCAGCCCGTTTCCCCGAAAGTCGGCACAGGCCTTTCTGCTCACCACAGGAGGCGCCCCCAAGGGAACGAGCGCCCCAATGTGCCTGTCCGTCCGCGAAGGCCTCGCTGTGAAAACGAACCGTCTTGCATCGCTCTGACGAGCTACGGGAAAGCGCGAACGCGACGGGCCCTAGACCTCAGTCGACGGCGCGTCCACCGGGAGCCCCATGGTCAAAAACAACCGACCCCGGTCCGTGCAGCGAACGCACAAGCTTAGACTTGCGCATGGTTACTACATGCTGACCGGTGTGGACCGCACGCTGCTTGCTTCCAGCAGTGTACCTACCCCTGTGGTGCAGTCGCTGTGGTGCGCAGTCTACGTTCTGCCATATAGGGTGTGCCGCTGTGTTGTGCCATCCCTGTAGCGCAATATGTAGTGCAACATACGTGGCGCAAAATATGTTCTGCAATCGATGTGGTGCGCAATGTATGCTGTGTAACCGATGTGGAGCAGTCTATGTGATTCGCAGTCTGTGCTGTGCAGTATATATATATATATGGATGATGCAGCCATGTGGAGCAACCCACGTGGTGCGATCTACGTTGTGCAGTATATATACATACAGAGAGATATACTAGAACCACGCGCGCTACGCGCGCGCGCTTAGGTTCGAGTCGCAGATGAACCATGGGTGCCGCTGCAAGCCCCGCTAAAACGACGACGGCGACGAGACAACGACGGCGACGACAACGGCGGCGGCGGCCATGACAAGGACGCGACCAACACCACCAAGTCGTCAGTCGTCGAAGGCGACCACCACCTCGACGATGGCGACGGCTACGACTAAGGCCACGACGAGGACGATGACGACAAGACGACGACAAGAAGACGACGACAATGAGAACAACAAGACGACGACAAGACGACGACGACGACAAGACGACAAGACGACGACAAGACGACAAGACGACGACGACGATCACAAGACGACGACAGTAAGACAACGACTACGAGTACGACGACGACGACGACGACGACGACGACGACGACGACGACCGCCTCCCGAGGTCTCCTCGCCCCCGGAGTTTGACCGCGGCACTCTGAGCTCCGACGCCAACGACGATGGCCACCACGACGAGGACGACTACCTCCACGACCACCACCGCGACTGGGAGGGGGCTCGAAGTGTGCACCAAAAATCGTCTGGTCGGCCAAGGGGCCCTGTCTATAGATGCCCCAACTGCCGCGGGATGCTGGGCCGCCCATGCACCGAACCCCTTCGCCGAATCCACCGGCCCCCTGGCCGACCAGACAACGTGATGTGCGGCCGGGAACGTCGGCCGACTGTGTGCCCCAACGGCGGCCCCGGCGACACGCTGTGCCCCGCAAGGGGGGGCGAGCCTGCCGCTCCGCTCCGAGGGGTGGGACGCTGGGAAAAGCTTGGGACGTGGACGCCTTGGGGACCAGGACAGGGTCAGCTCCTTGTCCCGCAGCGAGGAGGGCCAGAACCCGCGACGCGACAGGCTAAGCACGAGCTGCCGACCCTACACGCAGAGCGCCTCCGAACGACGGCGGCGACGGACGAGGACAACCACCACCACGACGAGGACAACGACGATGAACACCACCACAACGACGACGACGACGACGACGACGACGACCACGACGACCACCGACACCACCAGGACGACGAACACCACCGCCACCACCACCACGACGAGAACGACGAAGACGACAACGACGACGACCACCGCCGCCGCCGCCGCGACGACGACCACCGCTATCGCCACCACGACAGCCACGGCGGGCGGCGCGCCGAGCTCCGCTGCGAGGTGCAGCGGCGTCAGCCCGCGCGCCCCCGCAGCCGCGCTCGCGCCCGCGTCGAGCAGCGCGCGCGCCGCGTCGAGGTGCCCCTCCTCGCGGGGTGGCGGCAGCGACGACGGCGGTCACGGCGGCCACGACGACGACTGCCGCTACGACGACGGCGGCGGCAGCAACGGCGACCGACACGGCAACTACGACGACGGCATCGGCGACGACCACGGCGGCGGCGGCGGCGGCGACGAAACGACGAAGACGGCGACGGCGATTATGGCGGTGATGGTGGTGATGATAATGGTCATTGTGGTGATGGTGGTGATGGTGGTGGTGATGATGGCGACGGAGCTTGCAACGGCGGCGCAGCAACATCAGCTCCTCTTCATGGAAGGGAGGGGGGGAAGGGGAGGGAGGAGGAGCGGGGGAACAGGGTGAGGGAGGGACGGGAGACGACGACGACGACGACGACGACGAAGACGACAACGACCATGACGATGACGACGACCATGACGACGACGACGACGACCATGACGACGACCATGACGACGACGACGGCGACAGCGACGACGACGACGACGACGACGGCGACGACGGGACGACGAGAGACGATAAGACGACGACAGGGCGCCCATCCTGGCACGCGGAGTGTAGCGGGGTGTGTCTGCTGGAGTCCCGCGCCTCCAGATCCGCGCCGTACTCGGCGAGCATCTGGCGGAGTCGCCACGCTCTCTCCCCACCACCAGCATCAGCACCATCACCGCCATCACCAGCATCACATGGGGCCACCCGGAAGGCGAAAAGAATCGGGTCTCACGCGAGATGGCTTTGCGGCCTTACGCGGCAACGCCTGGGAGAAGAACTGCTGTTCTAGAATACTCGTCACGTGACAACGCATGGAAGTGAACAACAGCACTGTGATGCTGTTCTGGCCACGTGGCGACGCCAGGGGGGGCAGCGCAACGAGCATCCACGTCCGCCCGTAACAGTGGCAACGCGGATGGGAAGGACGAACAACAACTACGCAATATTCTTCTCCGCTCGTCGACGATCCGACGACGACGACGACGACGACGACCTCCTCCCTTGGGACTACCCTGCCCGAAGCCCACCCCCTGCCCCCTCCTCTGCCGGGCTCGACATCCAGCCCCAGGAAACCCCAAGACACTCTCAGCGATCCGTCGGAAGATTCGTGGCATAGTTTGGGTAACCTCGGTCGTCGACTGTGCTCTTCGTGTGGCACCTCAGGGGGTGGGGGGTGGGGGGGCGAAAACGCATATGAAGCTGTTCTGCTCATCTCATGGCAAGCTTGGAAAGGCGAAGAACTAATGGTACAAACTACTCTCCACGCGACAACGCAGAGGGAACGGAACGCATGCCATTCCACGTTGCCCGTGAAGTGCCAGCGCAGATAGCGAAAGCAAGTAAAATTCATGAGTTGTTTGTTATGTTGCACACTGGAACCAACTCGCGTCGACATCGACAACTAAGACGACGACGACGCCGACGCCGACGCCGACCGTGGCGAAGACGTTGACGACGACAGCGGCCACGAGGAGGGCGACAACGACGACGACGAGAAGCAGGACGACGAAAATGACAACGACTACGAGGACGACCGCTACCACGACGACGACAACGACGAATACGACGCCGACGAAAAAACACTACAACAACGACAACGAAGACGACAAATACCAAGACGGCGGCGACGACGATCTCCTCCCCCCATCACCAGCCACCCCTCACCCCTTCCTCCCTCCCTGTTTTCCTCCCTCCCTCCCTGCCTCAACCTCCTCCTCTTCCTTCTCCCTCCCTTCTCCTCTTCTTCCTCCTTTTCCTGCTTCCCCTTCTCCTCCTCCTCCTCCTCATGTCCTCTTTCTCCTCCTCCTCCTCCTCTTCCTCCTCCTCTTCCTCCTCCTCATCACGTCTTCTTCCTCATCCTCCTCATCCTCCTCCTCCTTTTCCTCCTCCACCTCTCACTCCACTTATTCCTCCCCTTCCTGCGCATGCGCCCTCTCCCCCCGCCTCTCTTTCCTCCTCCCGCACAAAGGCGGAGCGCAAGACCAAGAGGGTCAGCCAGCGGAAACAATCAAGGGCAGCAGCGTGGAATAGCGATTCCCCGCTGCAATGTCCCGGCGGAGAACCGCGGGCCACGCGGGGGCTCGTCGTCGGGCCCTCCGCCAGTGGCTCCTCCTTTTTCTCCTTGTCGTCCCCCGCCCCCAATCGACCCCCTTGAAACCCTGCGGGGGGCAGTCCCACGAGCGTGGCCGAAATGTGGCTGAGGCAACTCCACTCGCCTGAACCCCCCCGGGAGAAACGATCAGAAGGGGGGTTGCACTCGAATGCGCGACGACCTTGCGCGGTGGCTCACGCAGGCCGCTCGCGCGGCAGACGCGCGAACTTACGAGGGCGGCATGCGCGCGAGTGCCCGCGCAATCGACCCCCTTGAAACCCTGCGGGGGGCAGTCCCACGAGCGTGGCCGAGACGTGGCTGAGGCAATTCCACTCGCCTGACCCCCCAGGGAGAAACGATCAGAAGGGGGGTTGCACTCGATTGCGCGACGACCTTGCGCGGTGGCTCACGCAAGCCGCTCGCGCGGCAGACCGCATTAAGGCGCCTACGCGCCACCTTCCGCGGGCAGCTTACGCACAAGTGCACGCGCAATCGACCCCCTTGAAACCCTGCGGGTGCGCCCTCCCGCGGGCGCTTTGAAATGTGTCGCCCGGTTGCGGTTGCGGTTGCGGTTGCGCGCTCCCGCGGGCGCTTTGAAATGTGTCGCCCAGTTGCCGTTGCGGTTGCGGTTGCGCGCTCCCGCGGGCGCTTTGAAATGTGTCGCCCGGTTGCGGTTGCGGTTGCGCGCTCCCGCGGGCGCTTTGAAATGTGTCGCCCGGTTGCGGTTGCGGTTGCGAGCCCGCGGGCGCTTTGAAATGTGTCGCCCGGTTGCGGTTGCGGTTGCGAGCCCGCGGGCGCTTTGAAATGTGTCGCCCGGTTGCGGTCGCGGTTGCGGTTGCGCCCGCGGGCGCTTTGAAATGTGTCGCCCGGTTGCGGTTGCGGTTGCGGTTGCGCGCTCCCGCGGGCGCTTTGAAATGTGTCGCCGGGTTGCGGTTGCGGTTGCGCGCCCGCGGGCGCTTTGAAATGTGTCGCCCGGTTGCGGTTGCGGTTGCGGTTGCGCGCTCCCGCGGGCGCTTTGAAATGTGTCGCCCGGTTGCGGTTGCGGTTGCGCGCCCGCGGGCGCTTTGAAATGTGTCGCCCGGTTGCGGTTGCGGTTGCGGTTGCGCGCTCCCGCGGGCGCTTTGAAATGTGTCGCCCGGTTGCGGTTGCGGTTGCGCGCTCCCGCGGGCGCTTTGAAATGTGTCGCCCGGTTGCGGTTGCGGTTGCGCGCTCCCGCGGGCGCTTTGAAATGTGTCGCCCGGTTGCGGTTGCGGTTGCGCGCTCCCGCGGGCGCTTTGAAATGTGTCGCCCGGTTGCGGTTGCGGTTGCGCGCTCCCGCGGGCGCTTTGAAATGTGTCGCCCGGTTGCGGTTGCGGTTGCGGTTGCGCGCTCCCGCGGGCGCTTTGAAATGTGTCGCCCGGTTGCGGTTGCGGTTGCGCGCTCCCGCGGGCGCTTTGAAATGTGTCGCCCGGTTGCGGTTGCGGTTGCGGTTGCGCGCTCCCGCGGGCGCTTTGAAATGTGTCGCCCGGTTGCGGTTGCGGTTGCGCGCTCCCGCGGGCGCTTTGAAATGTGTCGCCCGGTTGCGGTTGCGGTTGCGGTTGCGCGCTCCCGCGGGCGCTTTGAAATGTGTCGCCGGGTTGCGGTTGCGGTTGCCGCCGCCGGGTTGCGCTCCCGCGGGCGGTTTGAAATGTGTCTCCCGAGCTGTCCCCTGACGTTCAGTCAGTCATCAGTCAGCCGGCGGGCACGGAATTTCACCCGGCTCCGCCGGGAAAGACCATCAATAACAACACCGAAAGCACCAGCCGGAATATCCACACACAGCGCACGCCTTACTGTTTGAAGACCTGCGCGCGGAACGGCCACACGACCACGTTCATGAATACAAGGGCTCCCAAGTTCGCGCTTCGCGCTGCGAATAACCTCGCGCTCCCCCTCCCAAGGGAGAAGAGGAGGATAGGGGAGGAATCGGAGCCGAACTGCGAAGCGCGGAGCGCGAACAACTTCGCGCCCTCGAGGGCGCTTTGCGAATCGAAGGCCCGGGGCGAGCCGACGCCGAACGCTGCCCCAAGTTGTTGTTCAACCCGAGGGCGACGCGTCGACCCGCGGTCCCCGACGGTTCCCTTGTTCTCCTAGGGCAGCCTGGATAGCGCGGAGGAGGAGGAGGAGGATAGCCCTCCCACTCCTCCTCCGCCTCCTCCTCCTCCGTAGCCATTCTGGCTCAAGTCCTGAGCAAAGCGGCTCAGGCTTCAGTGTGGCAAGGGGGAGGTGCGCCCCCACCTGCGATCCCTGAGCCCCGTGACCAGGAAACTTTGTGAGCTCCTGTCGGAGCATCGGTATTGCATCCCCTGGGCCAGCGGGCACGTCGTCGTTTCTTGTGAGCTCCTGTGGCAGCCCATAGGCAAGCATGATGCAAAGAACTGCGTCTCTTGGGCGTCGTGCGGGTACAGGTGGAATTGGAAGTCCAGGACTTCATGCTTCAACTGCAACGCAACTCTCGCCCCGCTCGAGACGCCGCGGCGCGATGCGGCTCAGGGAGTGTGGGCCCAAGGAGGTGGCGGCCATCTCGGGGCTCAGCGGCCGCCAGCGGTCCCTCCAGGCGAGTGGCAGCGGGGGCCCAAGCCGCACGCCCCCTCTGGGCACCGCGGCTCCACGCCTCCGCCACAGGGGGCGCCTGCGGTGGACGGCGGCCTCTCGACGGTCGACCTCCTGGCGCAGCTCCAGGAGCGGCCTGCGGGCTCGGCGGCTGCGCAGGAGCCCCGGGCGCCGGAGTGCGCCACTGGGCCCCAGGGGCCGACGCAGGAGGTCGAGCCTGCGCGGCCACCGCTGCCGGAGGCCCAGGCCTCGGCCAAGGGCGCGGCTTGTCGCCGAGCCGAGGCGTGCACTGAGCAGTGCGTGGCCAAGAAGGACGAGGCCGAGCTGCGGTTCGAAGAGTGCTGCGCGGCCACGGCGCAGGCATCGGAGTCGGCGGTGCAGGCCAACTTGGAGTGGCAGGCGGAGCTGCAGCTGGAACTCGATCGGGCGGGAGGCGGTCGGCCCCCGAGCCCGGCGTCGGCGTTGTCGGCCGCTGCACCTGCAGGCGGCTCGCAGATCAATCTGTCCCACCTGCCCCACGCGGAGGAGGCGGGCACGGTCGACATCGTCGACGGAGACCTTCTCGTTCTGTCAGATTTGGAAGTCGAGGAGTCGAACAAGCAGCGCTGGCAGGAGATCAAGACCAGCATGGGCAAAGAGATCCGCGCGGCCATCCTGTCGGCGAACGGCCCCAGCGCGGAGGAGATCCAGACCCTGCGCCAGGAGGCCCGAGAGATGCGGGAACGCCGTGCCTCCAAGCGGCCGCGGCGAGAGGAGCCGGCGCTGCGCCCGACGAGGACGAGGACGAGGACGACGACGACACAACCGCCGCTGCATCCGCCGTCACCCCCTCTCCCTCCTCCTCCTCTTCCTCCTCCTCCTCTTCCTCCTCCTCCTCCTCCTCCTCCTCATCATCATCATCATCATCATCATCATCATCATCATCATCATCATCATCATCATCAGCATCATCAGCATCATCATC